ATCTTTCTCTGTCACTGGCTGTGTATAGAAGCGTCGAAAGGCAAGGAAAGCGACGAGAGATGGAAGAGATGTGAGAAAAAGAGATGAGAGTACCACCACAGAGAGTGTGGTGTGGATGCGGATAAGAGCTGGCAATCATGTCGCAAGAGTCGTTCGAAATGCCTCCCCGAACGGTATGTATAATGTGCGAAAAGACACTTCAAATTGAGTGTTATGTTTATGTACCACGGCGCAAAATTGTTTGCAATCGATAAACTCCTTCTTCTTCTTCTTCTTTTTCTTTTTCTTTTCGTTGTGCCATTGGCATGAGCCCAACCGAGTGTACGGAATGTTGGCAAAGAGTGGAGGAATTGGAGGCGACAACAAAACACATTGCAAACCAACGCCAACATTGTGTATATGTACCGAATGCCAATCTCAAGTCATTAAGTCCGGCTCATGAGAGCCTCAAAAACTGGATCTCCAAATCGGGTGGATGAAGATAATCTAGAAAATAAATACGCATGTAGTGTGAATAGCTTTGGCACTGCTCGTTGATGATGAAGGGACCCCAGATAAAGTACGAGTAGAGAGCAGGAGCGTGAGTACTCTCAAATCGTACAACACACCAAATTCGAGCTCGTATATCTCGAAAGCTCGCACTCTATCCATCGCCATTATGAAATCATTCAGAGTGAACGAAGAATGTACTGCACTCTTTCTCCCTCTGTCGCTCAATATATCTTTTTCACTTGGCTGCCCTTCGTCTTCATCTCTTTCTCCGATTACATTCTGACACATTCCAATTTGCATGATGTATTTCATTTTTATACAAATACACATCTCCAGTCCATTTACGACACACACACAAAAATGATGATGAAGAAGAAGAAGAAGAAGAAGAACGAGACCGAGAACATATACACCATCGCCATTCAATCCACGATCCGCTTCTATGGTGTACATAAATACATTTTGGCTCGTTGTTTTTTTTTTCATCAGCTCTTCTTATTTTATGAATCTACGGAGGAAAATACTTGAACACTCAAAATTACCATGTTGACATATCGCTTATTCACATTATGTACTGGTCGAGCAATGGAAAATTGCCAACGAAAGACATGAAAATTGTGTACGATAAATGCGACCGATTGCACGCGCGCGCGCGCGCACATACATCGAACCAAGAGGAAGACAGAGCGAGAACGAGAGATGGAAAAAGGAAAAACGCAACACTCAAAATGTTACTCACATGCATCTTTTTTTTTTATTGAAATATTTATCTCCTTGTCGGCGTTTTGTTGGAGTGTTGTGTATTGACGGATACACACACGCAACATTCCATATACACATGCCGAATATTAATTTTTTTTTTTCGTTCGAAATTGCACAGAAATACACACGTACATCATCAATGTCTAGGTGATTACCTACGGAACGGCGGAATGGATGGGTGCTTTGTACTCACCAAGTATCTCTTTGGCTCGCACATCGACATGCATGATATATGCCAAGAAACGTATGCACTTCGCCACAGCCATACGGCTGACTCGACTCACAATATTTTTGATATATAAACGCAAGGCCCCGAGCTAACGCTGGATTTTCGAACATGGAACGCACCACACACACACACACACCGCACTAAACGTGCGCGTATTTATGTACAATCCGGATGCGAAGTGAAGGAGAATACCTTTAGCAAAGACACCGCCCTTTACCTCTCTCTTTTTCTCATGTAAAGGCACCAAAACTCGGAAAATCGAGAGAGAGAGAGAGAGAGAGAGAGAGAATAGCAAATCTCTGTGTGTTTTTTTCTTTCGCTGCCATTTCGCAGCTCGAATAAAGTTTTCACACTTCGCCGTTATCTCGTCGCTCACAAAATTATTGACTGCGAGGATTTCTCAAACGTATTTCAGCATCTGATAAAAAAAGCACACATACACACAGTTTATTCGGAGGGTTATTTTTGTGCCCATACTAAATTCGTTTATTTTGGGCATGCGAAATGGTGAGTCGCAAGCTATATTTTGTGATTTGCAAAATCGATGAAGGAAAATCATTGGGCATAACGTTTGATGATATGGCGATGGAGTTCAATATTCTTAGCATGGATCGATCGGAAAATGCGTTTCAATAATTAAACGGAGCACTTGAAGCACAGAATAACCGAGCACCGATGAACATGAAGAATTGAAACCTATGATGCGGCGAGTGTGCGAATCCGTACAAAGAGACTATAAGCAAACAGCAGAAGAGAAAAAAAAAAGTTGAATGGGTTTTGGAATAGGTGCTGGTTGTTGGCAGATAAATGTGTGTGCGTGTTCAAAACACAAGCGAGATACCCATATGTTGGTGTTTAACGCATTCACCACAACAATAAAGCGCACACGACAACGACAACGACGACAATACGGTCGTCCACAGTGCTATTTATTGGGCTGGAGCACATAACATGTATAATAAGGAGGCACCAAATCGTAGCAACAATTAGAGAGGAGGAGTTTTTTTTCTCTTTCTCTTTAGCCGATCGCTTTGCACATCGTGCTCGGTTGGTTACAATGTTGTGTGTATGTGATTCGAATTCGATAGCGCAACGAGAGCAGCGAGTGAAGAGACCGAAAGAGTGAGAGTAGAGGAGAGCGTGCGTGTATGTGTGTGTGTGTGTGTGTGAATGAAGAGCATTCTTGATGATGGTTTGGTTGGACGTTGTTTGCCGTCTTCTTTGCACACATTCGTTCCGCCATGTGGCTTGACTTTTCAACGAGATATTCTCGGAGAAAGCTATATTCGCATATACCCAGAACATTATTTAAATGAAAATAATGCTGTTGAGTTGATATAAAAATTCGAATTTAGCGAGGTGAAAGAAAAAGCAGCAACAGCAGCAACACTACCAATACCACTACTAGTACCAGCACAAACGCAACAACAACAACAACGATAACGACAACATGCAAACATTGAAACCAACCCAACGTTAATACCGTCTATGTAAACAAGAAGCGTTTTGAATCAATGAAAATGTGCTGAATGCCTGTTTGCGTGTTGTTGTTGTTTTTTTTTCGGCTGACGTTTTTTTTCCACTTTTCGTTGCTTTCGTTCATTTTTATTTGTTCGCTCGCGTTTCATTTATTATATATGTACATATAGATTCAAACGCTGGGGTTGTGTTAGTGCCTGCGCTCAGCACATCCATCCATATCCATTCGCGAATACAATACACAATATCTCGAGAAATTGATTTGATTGTGGTTTTGTTCGGTGTAAATTTTTTGTTGTTTTATTCGATTTTCGTTTGTTGATCGTGCGCTCGTGAATGTGCTGCGTATTTGAACGTATTTTTCACTTACATTACACTTTTTTTCTCTCCATATTCTGTATATCCACTCTCACCTCGACTCATTCCCATATACATTTTGCATTGGGTAAGCGCTTTTCGCTTCCCATCTCCAACGATACATATACGTAGTGTATGTACATAACGATGGTGATGTGTAGTTTTCGGTTTTGATGGAGAGCTGAATACACGAAAAAAAAAAATAAAAGAGAAAAACAAGCATTGAAGCAAACGAAATGTTTTATGAGATACATATACGTCAATTTAACGACGAGTATTTATGTGTGCAAGCATTGTTGACGAAACGTGGCGAAAACGTCGAGTGTACATCGGTGAATTGAAAAAGCAAGCAGCAGCAGCAGCAGCAGCCACACACTGACGACCACATAGCATACACATCTTTGGACAGACAGAGAGAGAAGGAGCAAACGAGCAAGCTGTGGCTGAGCTGCGAATTTAATATCGTTCAGCTACATATTGGTAGATAAGTCATCGCGTGGTGGCATTTCAACGTAGTCATCGTTTGTGTCTTTATTTCGTGTCATCAATTTGGATGGAGCGCAAAAACAGCCAATTAACCATTGAAAACGAAGTTTTTGTTTTTGCTGTTTGGTTTGGTTTTGTTTTTCGGTTTTTCACGGTGATGAACGTCATTTAAAGAAAGAGCACAATCAAATAAAGCGGAGCAAAATTATAATCAATTGAGATCATCTCATTTTTGAAGCAGCCGGGAAGAAGCAGGCAATTCATCCGGCGCACCAATCACCGTTCTGTTGCTAACGACTGTTGACGTGATATAAACATTTTCAGGCAGTGGTACGAGAAGTCAATTCGAATGGGTGACAATTACAATTGAGCCAGCAAGTTTTGTCATTTCCTATCCTTCTTACGCCAATCCAGCTCATTCACTCTGTCCCATCGGGAAGTCTGAAGCGGGTGCGCGCGCTCGTACTCACAAAACACACCGAACAACATCGTTAAGTACTCACACTTGGGTTTTCGAATGGTGAATGAGGTACGGTAAATAGTCGCGCATATATCGACTGGGTGTTGAGTTGAGAGAGAGAGAGAGAGAGAGTGAGTGTTGTGTGTCTATTATCTGGTCTCATTTGGCTGTCGATTTCGGGATCAGTTTGCAATTGTTTGCCTTCAGGCTCACACTCATCGTCGTTCGTTACGCCTCTTCTATCTAATTTCACTCTGTTGTCGGCGCGCGCGATATAGTTCCGAGTGTGAGTGAATGTGTGCGCCGCTGCTTTGGAACACAACACACTGTTTGTTTGTTTTCCCGCACTGGTACCAAACTCAAACACACACATTATATTTTTGGATATCCTACAGTGCACTCGCACGTGCAAACATACCGATTCTATTCAGCTGACGCTGCGACAAATTAACAAAACCAAATCGTTTTTATTTTCGCAGAACAACACGTATGAGTGCTAAAAAGCCAAGTGAGAACTGTTGATACATTTTTGTCAATTGCTTTTAAAACCACACACACTTTTAACACAAAAACATTGAAACATCGCTGGCAAACGCATTCTTGTGAACGCGCTACCGCTCGACGAAATCACCTAACATAAATCACAGCATTTGTGCAATCAAATATAAACGTGCATACTTCCTAATCGATAACAAACTAAAGAGAGAGAGAGAGAGAGAGAGAGAGAGAGAGAAAAAAATCAGTGACAACAACTGAGTGGGTGTGCGGAAGTAAATTATTTTTTTCTTGTTGTCTAAATTGACGTGTTGCTATAACATTCGTGTGTCAGTTGTTAAGTGATTATTATCGAATTAAATACGATGATTTGTGGCAAAATGGTGTGCATGTGATTCGGTGAGAATGCATCAACAACAACGAATCTAATCTACAGCAAATAATCAAGAACAGAGAATCCAAAGCCCCGTAGCAAAGTATAATAATCAAGAACAACTAACGGATAATTATAAAGTGCAAGGCAATTTTTTTTTGATCAAAATCTTCGATCTTGTTCGTTGAACGGAAAATGGCAATAAAGTGACACGTCAAAACTTTCACAAAAAACTGAGTTTTGTTCTGTTTTTTTGTTTTGTTTTGATGTGCAGAAATATTCATCATCTGAAAAAAGAAGTGTTTGTGATTTTGTTCGTGCATTTGAAGATTTCCGTCAATAGAATTTCAAGCAAAAAAAAAGTGTGTTAGAGTGCACCTGAAACGGTAAAGAACAATCTAAAAGGTATCATGCTGCTTGGAGCATCAAATCATTGCAGTGCGACTGCAGCAGCTGCAGCAGCTGTGGCCGCTGCATCAAAAAATGGCACGGACTTTTCAATTGCGGCCATTATGTCCAGAGGCTCAATGAGCCGAGAACCATCCGAACGTAGCCTCAGTAAGTTAACTCATTCGAAGTCAACTGATATTATGTATATCTCCAAATGTGGCCGTTACTTTTGATGGAATTACTTTTTTGCTCTCGAAAATATTCGCAGTACAGCAACGCAATCTAATCTCGCGCCTTAATCGCACGAACAGGAAAAAAAATCACACAGCGAATAATAAAAATTAATTCGACGCATTCCGCAATTAGATTCGATTTACAGTTACACGTGTAAAGAGTTCTGGAAGTGTGCGCATTTTACTCTTAATTATCGCATTCATCTTGTGCCATTGCGCATTGGGGATCATAAACACGAGGCATTTTACATGACCTTTTTTCTCTCTCTTGCTCGCCCGACCTCACTCGCTAATTCCCATTCCATCTCTTGAGAAATACCGTGTTGATTTGCAGATTGCACGAAATGCATTTCGATCGAAAGCGCGCACAATAAATCATATAAAATTTAGAATAGAAACAGCAATTCGCATACACACACTCGCTCAAGTAATAAAGGTTAAAATCCACAAAATGCATTAACAAAAGTACTAATTGCAAAAATGCACTGAAATATAATTGAAACAATTTTAATTGAGGTCTTTTTCTCGACAAAAGAAAGAAAGAAAAACAAAACAATCACAATTGCAAAAAGGTACAAACACATACGAACAAAATCACTGTTATGTGTGCTTCTGTGTACATGAGGAATTAAATTAAACGTTTCTTCAAGTCATTTGTTGGCTGTTATATATTATTGTTCTGTTTATTTCATTTGTTTATGAGTTATTTGACTGTTGCATTTCACAAATGAATAGTCCCCGCAGCCTATTTGCCTTTTTTTTTCTCGAGATTTCTGCTAAAATGGAATGTGCTATTGTCGCACAACACCATAAATTTTTTTATGTATTTTTTCACGCGAAATCCAGACACAAGTGAAATAAAAAAAAAAAAAACGAGTTGAAAACCAATCTGTTAGAAAAATTTACAAAAACGTAATTAATTTAAATATGGAATTCGGATCGTAATCGTTTCAATAGAATTGCGGGTGTTGCCAAGTTGACGATGTGACCCAGTTTCAATTGAAATTTATACTACCATTTACTTCGAGGTTATGCACACATTGATTGCATTTTACAAATCTCGACAGCGACAAACCGTTATGTCACACATCGATTCCTTGTCGAATTAGAATTTTGCTCAATTTATGGACGAGCCATCGGAAGAAATGTCCAATTCAACATTCCAACATAGCTCAAGAAGAACATGATCAATGAAATTTATATTCGTTGGTATCATTTCCAACGTTGATGCCATTCATCAAACATTTCAAATCGTTTGATATTCCCGCTGCGATGCACTGTTGCCATCAATTCAGAATTTATTCGCTTTTTTTCGCTTCAAATCATTTACAGCAATTTATTAGGATTAGCACAAATGGCATTAAATATTGCATTAATCTTGATCAAACTCGTTAAAAACTTGATCACCCGATATCATGTATTTTTTTTACACTCACGTCATGCCACAAGTTCTGTTTCGATGCAAAGAACCACGATAATAACGTTTCACTGCAGCAACTGCACAGAGCACACTATAATAAAATGTTCGCAGCCATTAAAACACATTCATAATAAAAACTGAATCGAAAACATTAGCTTAGAAATGAATCATTTTAAAAATGATTGAATATTAAAAGAAAAGAATTCTTTTTATCACAAATCACAGGTCCATTATCAATGGATAGATATGCAGAAATCGATGATGAAGTCGATGTTGAACAGTGCAGTGACTCAGAATCAAGACGAAACACACGGAAAACAGGTCAAAAATTGTTAGCATCACCGTCATGCGCATCGGATGATGAACGATTAACTCCTGAACAGATTTCGGTAAGTAAAAAAAAAGATGAAAAAAAATGTTCATCAATGCAAAACTTGAAATGATTTTTTAAAAAAAATTCTTCTCAATTTTACTCCCAATCTGCCAGACCAAAACTCGCCTGACTGATTCATGTAACTGTGATGATTTAGCCCCGATACAATGTCACTTGGAAACGAAAGAATTGTGGGATAAATTTCACGAACTAGGAACGGAAATGATAATTACAAAAACTGGCCGGTAAGTGACTCAACAATATGCGAACAATTCATAAAAAAGAATAACCCGAAAATTGGATGTAAAAACCGCATTGAACGTAAACGAAATTTTAAACCGCATCGCAAATAAATTGCGAAAGCTCCTTAAATGGCCGAAAATGCAATTGTATTTAAATATGTGCATAATAAATGGAACTCAATCAATTTTCCCTGGTTGCATCAACCGTTGAAAATCTCTCTCACAGTGGCGTAGCGCATCGTTTAAAATGTGTATTCGCTTGAATGGTGCTGCAATTCATCTTCTTCAATCTTTGCATTTTCGGCTTTGAGAATGGATGGTTAAACTGGTTCTCGTTACTCAGAGTACAGTTGGGTTCTGCTGAAGAGTTCGTTCACAGTCGACCGACCGAAAATGTGTGTATGTGCTGACATTTTTATCGATTTTACGCAAATGGGTGCTATATCGAATGCATGCATGGAATATTATCGACCGAAGACGAGTAGCCAGAGTGTAACAGTAAATAAATGGCTTGGCAACGAGCACAAATCACTTCTTCGTTTTCGGGAATCGCGCGCGCATTTTTCCCGTGGAATATGCTATTTTCGGAATTAACTTCAACTCCAACGGTCATGCTCAATTTGTACAATTCTGCAACGCGATATATTTTGATTTCGGCGAATTTTCTTCATTCAAGTTCTGAATGGAAGCTGAGTTTCGTCTTTTTTAAATCGAAACTCGATGCTTCGAAACAATTACAATTTAATTTCGTTGAAGAGAATTTCTCAATGCGACAATTATCATCGAATTCATATAGAGAAGCGTTTACACCGATGCGATGCGATAGTTCTCACGGCGTTGAATGTGTGTCGATCATCGAAAACCAGATTCTCATTACATGGCTATAGAAATTGTGATTAGCTGAAAATGCTCTTGAGTTCATGGCATTAGCTAAGAATGAACTCTACTCAACCGAATTACACGCTTCGATTTGAGATATTCTAGCAGAGCGATGCGAGAAAAACTTTTTGACCGAAAAACGAAAGACAAACACTCTTAAAGAAAAACGGCAAACCAGTGAATATAACCACATCATATACACTCTGTCGTCGATTAGAGAGGCATTCAAAGAATTGATAGTATTTTTTTTCCAAAGCTCTCTCTCTCTCTCTCGTTGTTTGGAGAATGGACCTCTTTTATGACAACATCCGCATCGCTTCATTTGTGTCAGTCATTGTTTGGTTGCTTTCTTTGTGCGTTGCTCTTTTTGTGTATTTGGCAAAACTGGCGTTCGTTTCACTGAAATCGATACCACAACAACCGAAGAATATTTCGCATTTTGTTCATTTTTCGTGCGCTTCACATTCATGCAATTTTCCACTTTACATTTTATTCCATACGGGATTTCAATTGTGTCGTACTATGCGTGTGTATGTGTCATTTTTGGTTAGCCTTATTCATTGAATTGTTTGGTGATGTCAACCGCTAAACCATCATATCTTCCTCTTCCTTTCGGGTGCTTATGTGTCAAAACATACCATAAGTCAGATCCTTATTATTAATTTTGTTGTTATGAGAGGTGGTTCCACATTTCAAAACTGACTCGCTCGCTCTCACTCACTCTCTTTCTGCCTTTTTTGTCACTTCCATTCAATAGAAAATTATTCGTTTATTTATTTGAATTGAAATCGAAACACGTCGGTCACAATGGCATTTGAGGTCTGCGCCATACAATGAACGAAAGAGAGGCTGATGTTCGTATTGGCACGATATTAAAACGACATAACATTCACAATGCACACACAGATGATCTCTTGCTGCTGCTGATTTTCGATGCAATGTTACACTCTCGGGTGTTTTTTCTCTCTCGTCTTTTTGTTCTCCGATTTGATTTTTTTATGATTATTCCATTTATCTGCCTTTTTTCCACTCGATGACAATAAAAAAAAAAACGAATACAGGGTCTTTGCCCAGCATAATAAAACAATGTGATTTTGTGTGAGCTAAACTATATGTGATCCGGCATCTAACATTCAGTTTAACACAATTTACTATTTATCTCTTGGTTGTTGTGTGTGTGTGTATTTTTTTCGCACTGAAGAATGAAGAGGGATTTTCGAATGTTATTGGTGTTAATTTTCGATCTTGATTTACTTGCCATGGAAGCCTCACGTAAATGATGCAGAAAAAAGAATTAATGCGTTTGTGTGTGTGTGTGGCATGTTAATGAATTCTCGACTGCAGTCGTTTCCCGTTGGAATAAAAGATTTATTTCATTCGTTTAGCTGTGAATTTGTGACTTCTACACCGTAAATTCCGAAAGGAATTGATCTCTATTTTTTTTCCACCTTATTTGCGTGTTTGTGTGTGGCTTTTTGAATTGAAAATGTGAAAGATCAACTAATGAAGGATTCCACAGCGTTTTTCTTTTTCCGCGTGCATTTTTTTCCCTCATCATCTTCTCAGCGTAGTACGAAAATAACACACGATTCGTTGCGCGGCGGCAGCTAAGATTTATGATTTGCATTTCAATGCATTTTTGAGATTACGTGGCGCGATGTGGTTTGTGGATAATTTTCAAGAGATTCGATGCACGTTTGTTTTTCAAACAGAAATTCAAAAGAGTCGAATGAAGTCATTTCGGTGAAGCGCCAGCAGCAGCAGCAGCATCAGCAGCCGTTTGGTTTGCTTACGTTGTGGTCGATGCATTCGAAATGGCGCTCGCACATAAAAATCCACCGTGATTATTCAAGTGAGTGCATTTGCATTGAATACAGCATAAAATTCGCAAATTGAATGAATCGATTTCAAATGGCAATGGATATCCATTGGATGCGAACTACACTTTGAATGCAACGATAAATAGTGATGGCAGTCAGACAAGCTGAAATAATTAATGGAAAATGAACAAAACTAGATGACAGGCACCGCAACAGAGGGAGACACACACACATACGCAGACGGGTTTATATGGTGACAGTCTATTCATACATCGACGCGAGCGTATGTAAATTTTCATAATACGCGATCAGCAGCTGTTTTACGACCTAATAAATTTAATGCCATGTATGCCATAGGCCAAGCAACACTCCGTGTGCTTAATATACGAGTCCACATCATTTTAGTTAGGATTGTTTTTTCTCGGTGACTTTTGGATTTCGTCGTGATCGAGTCAAGTCGAGAAAATCCTCTCGAATCCATTCCATGTTGACTGGTTATCACACAATGAAAAAAAGAGAAGAGAAAAAAAACCAGAGACCAAACTTCCATTCATGTCGGGTGTAATAAATGTCGTTGCCACTCTCAGTTCATCACGTTCCGCATTCGAAAATAAAATCATTAAATATTATTTATGTTGTTCGTATTTATTTTATCGAAAATATTTGTTGTTCTGCGTTGACCGCACTTCGTCATGCAGTGCGGCTTTAAAAAAAAACCAACAACTTGAAATTGATTCAGAAATACGAGGCAAGGGAATTTGGCTGCTCGTTTTTTCCTCTCGTCCAAACCAAACAACACACCATTTAAATGTGAAAACTCAAAAAATTGAATATAAATTACTTTTTTAACAACTCCACACCTTAAGCCCGTTTAGCTAATTCAACGGTATTACAACAATGTTTGCTTATGACACATTCCCAACCGAATATTCAAAGTGGTGGCCTGGTCCGTGGAATTTTGTGGAGATTTTTTGATACAATTTGATGGAATATGCGCCCGAAATGCTAAGGCATGTTTGAGTCACCTGGTGAAATTAGTTGAGTATTTTGGTAATCACTCCTAATTGGTTTACCTATCGAGAACAATCGTTTTATCATTTAATCCGACGCCTACGTACAAGCAGTGCGCCATTGAAGCACACTTTAAATGGTTGATAGATGTGAAACAATACCTTGGTGCTATAAACAGCAGGAAACACAGTGTTTCAAACACTTTTGGATGAATGAAGAATTCTCGAATGCCAAGAATTTGGTGTGATGTTTCGAAATGCCTTCTTCAGTTGGATGCTTGAGCTAATGTTCCTCTTCAAGCTGCGCTAATGCGAATATCTTTCGAAATTATGCAAATGGCCGAAATTATCAAATTTCCAGTTCGAATTAAGCATATCAAATTATGAATGAATTCGATTTTTTGAATATAAACCAATCGACGTTTTAATTTATTACATAAATGCGAATCGGAAATGGAAATTGCTTTTTATAGCACGAACGGTGCTTTTGAGAATATCCGACGGTAAAAAAAAACAAACTGATTGATAAAGTCATAAAATGGGAACAATAGCAGATTCAACACGCCAATATATACATGAATTCGACAATTTGAAAGACGAAATCCGACAGAGAAAAAGGTTTACAACTTGCTTCGAACGACACAAACACCAAAATACCAATTTATTAAGTTAGACAAAGCGTTTTTTGATTGTGTAACCCCATCCATTCTTCGAATGCACACTGTGCATTGCACAGTTTGATAATAATAATCCAATTTTTGGCAGAAAATCTACACACAAAATTGCCGTCAATTTATGTCGATTTAGTCTACGATTCGTGATGAATTTTCAAGCAATTTATTTCCTCTTTTCGGAAATCATAAAAACATAAAACGATATCATTTGCAATTCGGATTGGCGCGTTCGTTCTCTCTCTCTCTCTCTCTCTCTCTCGCTCTCTCTCTCTCTCGCTCTCTTTCTCTCTGTGTGTGCCTTATTATATTGAGGTGGAGGTTGTTTGGATGCATTTATTACACGGGAAAATTGAATCAAAAAGCGCAAACTTGATTGGACACGAAAACAATAAATCAAATGCTAAGTAGAAAAGCACAATTTTTACGCCAAAAACAAACTGCATCGGAGCAAGAGCGAAGAAAAAATGAACGAAAAACATGCAAGACACATATAAAGTCGGAGGTTCTATGAGACGAACCAAATAAATAAACGGTATACCAATTGTGAATCGAAAACAGGAAACACACAAAACACACCAACAAAGAAGCAGTCTTGTGGTTAAGCAACCACAAAAAGAGAA